CGACTTGCGGGGCTGCGGCCACGTCGCCATCCGCGGCCCTGCGCGGGCTGTCAGCAACCTCGCGGAGGTCGACGGTGGCAAGGGCTCCTCGGGATACACTGGTGCCCCCGCCGCGCGAGCACGCGAAGGAGCGGCTGGTCTTCGCGCTGTTCGGCGGGGGCGACGACGGTGGATCCAAGTGCTCGCGCGCAGGGCGGGGCATGGGCGAGCGCTGTGACAATGGCAGTGTGTGCGCTGAGTTCCATTCTGGCGGCGGCTCGGTGGCGTTCAAGGCTGGAGACCCCCATCGCTGCGAGCTCCAGGTCGTCGAGGAAATGGCGCCGATGAGCGACGTCGACCGCGCGTGCTCGCCGCGCGACAGCATGGCCCAGGCGAGAGAGCTCTTCAATCATTGGCCCCCGAAACACATCGAGCATGACGGGATGTCCACCGACAGCCACGTGGTCAGTGGCTTGCAGACGGCCTCAATCCAGCGGGTGAAAGACGGCACGGGGCGCAAGCTGGATGAGCGCATCACCGCGGCGCTGCAGGGCCAGGCCGACGAGGCCAAGAAGAAGCGCAAGCTCCAGGCGCAGAAGAGCGCCCCGAAGGGCAGCGGCGCGCGGGCGGCCGGGGCGGGCGGCGGCGGCGCGGCGCGGGGGAAGGGCGCGCGGGGGAGATGCGGGAGAAGGGGCGGGGAAGCGGCGGCGGCGGGGGGGGGCGAGGCAGCGGGGGAAGGGGGGGCGGGGTCGGAGATGGAGGAGGCTAAATGCCAGGGCGGAGGAGTCTGGGGGAGAGAGGATACATTGCCTTCCTACCTCTACCACCTCTGCCGCGTTCCCACTGCCTTTCCCCTCCTTGTCCCCCCCCTCCCCCCCCTCGTCGGGGGCTCGCGCCCCTGCGCCGCTTCCCGCGCCTTCGCCGCCGCTTCGTCGCCCGCCTCGGCGGGGCGAGAAGCCGCGGGGGCGCTGAGCGAGTTCGCGACGCCTGAGCGCGCGAGGCGCGATCCGCCTGCGAGCGGCCCCCCTCTCCTCCGCCTCGCCCCCTTCCCCCGCCATTCCAACCTCTTCCCCCCCCCCTCCCCTCCCCCCCCCCCCCTCCCCCCCCTCCCCCCCCCTTTCCCGCCGCCGCCGCCGCCGCCCCTACATCCCCATCCTCATCTGCCCCCTCTCGCCCCTTTCCCTCCCCCTTCCCTGCCCTCGCCCCCCCCCCCCCCCTCGCGGGCGCGGCGGGCGCCCGCCCCTCCGCGGCCCAGCCGCCGCCGCCGCCGCGCGGGCGAGAAGGGGCCTCGTCGGGCGAGACAAGAAGGGGGAGGGGGGGGGGGGCGGTGTGGGGTGAGGATCAGAGGGGGTAGATGGGGGAGGACAGCAGCGATCGCCGCAGGAACATCGGGGATGCTAGAAGGACCCGGGGGGGGGACGCGGGGGGGCGGGGGGGGGGCGATGGTGGGGGGGCGGGGGGGGGGGGGGGCGGAAGTAGAGGGCGGGGCGCGGAGGCAGATGCTGGGGGGGCAGGGGAGGGGGAAGTTGAGGCGGAGGAAGGAAGAGGAGGATGAAGCGCGAGGCGGGGAGGGGAGGAGGCGGGCAGTAGTAGTGGAGAGGGAGGAGACATGCTCCGACTTCCACTCTCTCAACTCCGACTTCCACTCTGCCCTTCTCCCTCCCTGCCCTTCTCCTCCTCGCATCCTTTCTCGCGTTTTCGGGGGCTCGGTGTGTGCGTGTGTGTGTGTGTGTGTGTGTGTGTGTGTGTGTGTGTGTGTGTGTGTGTCTGCGTGTGTGTGTGTATATGTGTGTGTCTGCGTGTGTGTGTGTGTGTGCGTGTGTGTGTGTGTGTGCGTGCGTGCGTGCGTGCGTGCGTGCGTGCGTGCGTGCGTGCGTGCGTGCGTTCGCGCGCGCGTGCGTGCGTGCGCGCGTGCGTGCGTGCGTGCGTGCGCGCGTGCGTGCGTGTTTTTTTTTTGGGGGGGGGGTCGGGGGCGTCTTTCTCTCTTGCCATGGGCATGCGTCCCCGCCGCCAAATCCGGCGCACCCCTCGCGCGCTTCGTGGCCCTGTGGAAAGCTCCGCCCAGGGCCCGCGCGGTGCCGCCCGCATGCGCCCCATCCACGCATGTCAGCACGCCGCTCGCGCGCTTCGCGGCCCCACAGACAGCTCCGCCCGAGGCGCGCGCGGCGCCGCGCGCATGCATTCCCGCCACCCCTTGCGGCGCGGCCTTCAAACGCTTCGTGGCCGCATAGAGTGCCCCGCCCAAGGCCCGCGTGGCGCCGCCCGCATGCGCCCCCGCCATTCACTTCGGCACGCCCCTTCACACGTTTCGCGGCCCCATCGCCCGCGCGCGTCCCCGCCGCCTCTTTCGGCGCATCCTTCACGCCCCATAGGGGGCCCCACCCAAAGTCCACACGGTGCCGCTCGCGCGCGCCCCCGCGAGTTATCCCGGGACACCCGTCATTTGTTTTGTGGCCGCACGTTTGAGCCGCATTCAAGGACTCAATGGTACCGCCCGCATGCGCCCCCGCGGCCGAATGCGGCACGCCCCCCATGCGCTTCGTGGCCCCACAGGGAGCTCCACCCAAGGCCCGCAGGGTGCCGCCCGCGTGCGCCCTAGGTACCTATATCGGAACTTCGGCACACCATTCACGCGTTTTGGTGGCCCCACATGCACCTCCACCCAAGGCCCCGTGATGGGGCCCCCTGAGTAGATAGTAGTGAGTAGTGAGTAGTTAATCGTGAGTAGGGAGTAGATAGGAGCGATTCGTGAGGAGTGAGTAGTGCGCAGTGCGTAGTGAGAAGTGAGTAGTGAGTAGTGAAAAGTTGGTAGTTGGGAGTGGGTAGTGAGTAATGAGTAGCGAGTCGGGAGTAGCGCATCGTGAATAGTGAGTTGCAAATAGGGAATTGCGAGTAGTGAGGAGACAGTAGTGAGTAGTGAATAGCGAGTGGGGAGTAGCGAGTAGTGAGCAGTGAGCAGTGGGTAGGGAGCAGGGAGTAGGCAGTAGTGAGTAGTGACAAGTGAGAAGTGGGTATTGAGTATTGGGCAGTGGATAGTGCGTAGGGAGTAGCGAGTAGTAAGTAGTGAGTCGTCAGTTGCGCGTAGTGAGTATTGACCAGTGAGTAGTGAGTAGCAACTTGTGAGTAGTGGCAAGTGATTAGAGGGTTGTGGGCAGTCAGTAGTGGATAGTGGTTAGTGGTTAGTGGGTGATGAGTAGTGATTTGTGATTCGCGCGTATTGGGTAGTGAGTTGTGTTTAGTGAGAAGTGAGTATTGAATAATGATTAGTGAGTAGTGATTTGTGAGTTGCGAGTAGGGAGTAGGGAGTAGAGAGTAGTGAGTACTGGGTAGTGAGTAGCGGGTAGTGAGTAGTGAGTCGTGAGTAGTGAGTAGTGAGTAGTGAGAAGTGAGTAGTGAGTAGCGAGTAGTGAGTAGTGGGTCGTGGTTAATGCGTTATGAGTAGTGAGCACTGTTTGGGGCTAGCGTTAGGGTTTGGGGTTAGGGTTGGGGGTTAGGGTAGGTAGGGGTGAGGATGAGCGTTCGGGGTGATAAAAGGTGGGGTTCTGGAGCCTAGGGGCGCCGTGCCGAAAGGGGGACGGGGGGGGGCGGGGGGGCGGGGGGCTCCCCGACGACGGATCGGGGAAAGGGGCTCCCTTGGGGAGATCCAGCGGCGCACCCTCCAACACTGGCCTGGCACATGAAAAGGAGAAGATAATTCATGGAGAAACATCTCAAGAAGAGGCAGGGAGGAGCAGGAGCACGAGGATGAGAAAGAGGTGGCGGAGGAGAACAACAGAGAGAGAGAGAGAAAGAGACAGAGAGAGAGGGAGAGAGAGAGAGAGAGAGATGAAGCTAAGGAGAAGGATGCGGATATAAGGGGAGAGAGGATGAGAGAGAGAGAGAGCTAGAGAGAGCGAATCATAACAAGCAAAGAGAGGATCATGTAAGAAACAATCTTTACACACGTATGAGTATCGGAGGTGGAGGCGGGATCGAAGTGACACGGAGTCCCCCCGCCAGGACATCGGTTCGGTTCCAGTTCGTCTCGCGCGCCACGCGCGGGCCAGGCCAAGCTGCGCAAATGTGAGGCAGACCCGGCATACTTAGGGTAGGTTGCCATCAGATTGGTCTCATTCCGCCCAGCGGTGGCTCCCGTGTGATCCCGTGGTTTTGACGTGGTTGTGTCGTTGTTGTCCCGATGGTTCGCCCGATATGAAGGTACCGAGCCCGCCAGATCGTTTGGGAGTGTAACCTGTACATAGATAGTGAGACCGATAATTCGTGCGTCCGAAAAATCATATTTGCTATTTGATATATGGATCATGTGGTGAATAGATGCACGGTGAGATCGGCAGATCGAGATAACGAAGTACAGTTTGGCAGTGGGGCCGATAGCTACGCTTGGACGTCTCGATGGTTTCCCCAGTGGTTGTCCCGAGTGCTGTCCAGTCGGTTTCCCCGATGGTTTCCCCGATGGCTCGATAGCGATATCGACATGTCGATAGTGAGACTTGCCGACTGGTTGACCGCCGTGACACCGATAAAGAAATGATGCACTGGTAGCGTTATAGATCGATGCATTGTGAGACCTGAGACCGCGGTATTGAACATATTATTATCGGTATGTAATTAGTGAGGCTGGTCGGTAACGCGAACCAGATCCGACGCCAATCGCAAGCCGCAAGATGCCCTCCCCTCGCACGACTTCCTCACCCGATTGTCTTGTTTATGCGTACATACCCACGCATTTTGCACATAGACGGTTTGAGGGTGGGCGGTCTTCAAAACGGGACATTCGCTTCATTCATGTTCCAAGGAGTTCGTTTCACGTATTTTTGAGGTTTCTCTCCAGGGATTTTTGCGGATGGATTTTGCGACAGCAGCATCATTAACATCTTGGTCCTCCAGTACCTTTCCAGTTCCCTCCCCGCCCCTACGAGTCCCAAGAGCCGCGACCTTCCTTCCGCCCTTGCCCCCCTTGCCTCTTCCTCTCCTCCCCTCCTCCCTGGGGCAGGCCCCTCGTGCCTCGCAGCGCTGGGCAGGCAGTCGCCTCCAGACACGGTGCTGATGTCCGCGACGTTGCTCCTCACCATCTCCGGCGTGCTCACGACCAAGGACCGCCGTCGTCGTCGTCGTCGTCGTCTCGGAGAACCAAGACACAAACCTTACATTCTCTGCGCTCCGCGCAGATTTCTTGGATCGGCGCTCGGCCCCCCTGGCCGGCGCCCCTGGCGCCGCCTTTGGGGCTCAGCGCCGATCCAGCAAAACGCGCGCGGTGTTCCAAAAGTTCATGCTGCTTGTGCAGTTTCTTGTTATTCTGTCGTCGTCGGTCGTCCGTCGGTTGTCGTCCGTTGTTTGTCGTCCGTCGTCGGTCGTACGTTGTCCGTCGTCCGTTGTCGTCGTAGGAGTCTCAGCGGCGTCTGGAGGCTCTCATTCCATTTTTGTTGGGCCGTCCTGGGCTGCCGAAACCCCTAGAGAGGGCCTCCTGAGGCCTTGCCTTCCCAGAGACCTCTTGGTCCTCTATATATAAGCCGTCGGGTTGCGTTCCTCTGGGGATCGTGGAGCAAGCTGGAGTGGCCAGTGGGGCTGAGATCACCACTAACTAGGAGGTTTTCTCATTTAAGCCGTATAAGCCCGACGCCGAAACAGCTACATAATTCGCCTGGCGAAGATCCAACCCCCTTTGAAACACGAGGCGACTACAAGCAGGACCGCTCAATACACGAGATCACGTGGAGGGAGCAGCTGCAGTAAGCCTGAACATTTCGCACGGGACCTGACAATGGTGCCCCGAAGCGTTTGAGGGGTGTTTGGGAAACGGTCGGGAGGCGGCATGCGAACGTTGCCGTTGGAGCCTTCGGAGGAGCTCCCTGGGGGCCACGAAACGTTTGAGGTGTGTGCCAGAATGGCCGGGGGGCGATATGCGGACGCTGCCATTGGGGCCTTCGGTGGAGCTCCCTGGGGGCCACGGAACGTGTGAGGTGTGTACCGAAATGGTTGAGCGGTGGTGTGCGAACGCTGCCACTAGGACCTTCTGTGGAGCTCCCTGGGGGCCAAGAAACCTATGAGGTGTGTGCCAGAATGGCGGGGGGGCGGTATGCGAACGCCGCCACAGGGGTCTTCGGTGGAGCTTCTTGAGGGCCACGAAACGTGTGAAGGGAGTGCCGACACGGTCGGAGGCGGTATGCGAAAGCTACCACTGGTGCCTTAGGTGGAGCTTCCTGGGGACCACGAAACGGGATGCGAACGTTGCCATTGGGGCCTTCGATGGAGCTCCTCGGGGGCCGCGAAACGTGTGAGGGCTGTGCCGACATGGTCGGAGGAGGTATGCGAACGCTGCCATTGGGGCCTTCGGTGGAGCTCCCCAGGGGCCACGAAACGTGTGAAGGTTGTAGAAAGACGGTGATGATAATTACAATGATGGTGCAGTGGTGATTCGAAGAGGGAAGAGGAGGATCAGGAAGTGGAGGAAGGAGTGAGGAGAAGGAGGTAAAGGAGGAGAAGGAGGAGAAGGAGAAGGAGGAAGGGAGTAGAGGAAGAGAAAGAGACGCGCTGCACTGCGTATTCAACACGAGGACCCAACTCCACAGAAGCGGCGGCGCCTCTAGCGCCGCCGCTGACGCGCTCAGCGCGCCAGGGAGTCGAGGGCCAAGAAGCATCAAGAAACTCCGAACGTTCATGTTCAGCCGTTCTTTCATTTTCTGCTTACAGCGCCGTGCGCCCTCCAGCTGGGAGCAGCGCTGCCGGGACAGGAGCAGCACGGGGCGGGGCAATGAACGCAGGCAAGACGGCATCCATCGGGGGCGCTCACGGCCTGGTCGGGTGCTGCCGGAGGTGTCCCTGACCCAAGGCAGCGGGGAGCATTTTGCCATCGAAGACGCGTACGGCGAATCACCGCCGCCCCCCTGCCTTGTGGACTCGCCCATGTGGCCGAGCGTTGTGGCAAAAGTTCTGCCCAGCTCTCTGACCAGGTGGTCCCCCAGCCGTTGAGACAGCCCGTCGGGGAACACTTGGGGGAGGATGGCGGGGAAGATCAGGAGGAGGAGGCGGAGGGAAAGGAGAAGGAGGAGGACCAGTGTAAACCCAAGAGTCATCAACGATGTTGGAATGACCCCTCCCTCCAAGCTCCCTCTTCGTAGGCCCCTACAACGGTTCATTTCCATCGAGGGAACTGCCTCGTTGGAAGACAACCGTTTGAAGATCTTGAAGCGTGCCAAAACATTGCCCTCGGGATTTCAACGCCACGTATCGACCTGATTGCTGCGTATTGACGATCCGGAATCGCGCCAGAACGCCACTTGCGGGATTCCAACACAGCGAATCAACATAGTTGTTGCGCCCGCAGAATCCAGAATCGTTATAAAACACCATTTCTGGTACGTTGATCATGGGAGTCCATGAGAACTCTGGCAAATGTTCACATCGAATAAACGCGGGCTAAGACGAGAGCCACATTTTGAAAAAGGAGCCGCCCTCATGTTTTGTGAAATTCTTGCAACTGTTTAAAAATAATGTGCGCGGCGCTAGTGCGAGAGTCACATTTCGAAAACGACCTGCCCTCAATCCGTGAAGCTCTTGCAGTGTTTCAAAACGAATGTGCGCGGCGCTAAGGCCAGAGCCACATTTTGAAACGGTACCGCCCTCAATACGGGAAGCCCTTGCGCATTTTCAAAACGAGTGTGCGCGGCGCTAAGGCGAGAGCCACATTTTGAAAACGACCCGCCTTCAATCCGTGAAATTCTTGCAAACGTTTAAACGAGTGCACACGGCGCTAAGGCGAGAGCCACATTTTGAAAGCGGCCCGCCCTCCATTTGTGAAACTGTTGTCACTGGTTTAAACTTCAGAGTCATAAATGGTGAGGAAGTCTCAGGCGAAACGCCCGGGCCGCCCTGAAAATTGGCGTCGGGGTGCGGCAGGGAGAAGTTATTGATAAGGAGAAGGAATGGGGGGGGCATCTTGAGAGCATCTGGGGGCACTCTTGGTGCCTCCTGGGAGTTTCCTGGGAGCCCCCTTGGGCCCCCTTGCATCTTTGGGGCCTTTTGGGGCTTCTCAGGGGCCTCTTTGGCCGCCTTAGGGCGTTCCTGGCCCGTTGACGCCGTCGGAAACCGTCTTGGGGGCCTCTCTGAACCGACTTGGGGCCTTCTTGGGGTGTTGCTAGGCCGTCCTCGAGGCCAACCTGAGCGTCTTGGAGGCCCCTTGGGCCGTCTTGGGGCCGTCTTGGGGCCGTCTTGGGGGCCTCTTTGGCCGTAAGCCTTTTGGGCGATCTTTGCGCGATCTTTTGGGCATCTTGGGCCATCCTGGACCGTCGGAAGTTTGAAAAGCAGCAAATGCTGAAATCCATCTAACATATCAGGAACAATTATTTGTTTGGCCTCGCCAGGCCTTGCTCTTGGGGGCCTCTTGGGCCGTCTTGGACCATCTTGAAGCCACCTTGGGCCGTCTTGGGTTCATATTGTGCCGTCTTGAGTGCGTCGTGGGGCCACCTTGGGCCCCTGGTGCCGTCTTGGCAGTCTTGGGGGCATCTTTGCGTCTTAGAGGCGATCTGGGCAACGGGAGACGAAATTTGGGAACCTTGCCGGGTGCTGGCGCGCTGGGCCGGAGCCCCAGGGGAATTTCTTTTGGAAAAAGAACCCTAAGCAAGCCGTATAGAATTCTTTACGCCAGGCACCCTTATGGCAAGCCAACAGGGGGCGGCGGAGCCAATGGCCTTCCGCCCATCCCGCCACCGTGCCTGGCTTGTGGGTTAGAGTTCTCAGTGATGGTTCTTCGGATCTCTTTAGAGCGCCCTCGGGGGTCTCTTGGGAGCCTCTTAGTCTCGGGTGCCTCTTGGGGGCCTCTTGGAGGGCCTCCTTGGGTCTTCTTACGGCTGAAGCCTCGAAATGTCCGTTCGGGTTCCCCATCTGGGCCCTCTCTGAGGGCCGTCTTGGGCCCTCTTGGGCCGCCTTGGGGGCCCTCTTGGGCTGTTTTGGAGCCCTCCTGGGAAGCTTTTGAGGCCGTCTTGCGGCGATCTTGGGGGCCTCGTGGGCTGTTTTGGAGCGTCGGGAATCCGAAAGGCGCGAACGCTGAAATTCTTCCCAAACCTTGAGGAACTCAATGAATTCTGCCTCTTGGAGCTCTCTTGGGAGGCCACTTGGATGCCTCTGGGGGTGTTTTGGAGGCCTCTTGGACGGTCTTGGGGCCGTCGTGGGCAGCTTGGAAATCTCTTCGGCCGTCTTGGAGGCTTCTTGGGCCCTGCTGGGGCCTTTTTGGGGCCCTCTGCGCATATTTTTACGCCTGATGGGCGGGGTCACCGTCCCAGAGGTTCACGCGACACACCCCAGGAACGCCCAGGAGGGCCCAGCGGCGTCTTGGAACCTGATCGTACAAGAACGGAAGCGCCGCTGGATTACAATTTACTTATTGGGCGAATAATAACAATGATAAGAAGAAGAAGAAGAAGAAGAAGACAAGGACGTTGAGGGCGACAAGAAGACGATGACAAGAACGACGTGGAGAACGTGAGGATAGCGAGAAGGAGCATGAGGACAATGAGGAGGAAGAGGAGCACAAGGACGAGGACGAAGAGAACGAGGGCGAGTACGAGGAGGAATGCGGAGGACGATGACGACGACGACTACGGAGGACAGTAAGAGGCAATTAGAGAAGGACGTTGAATCAGGAGAGGGTCCTGGTGACCCTATCCGGCTACCCTGGGGGCTCCTGTCGCCGCGCGGGGTTGTATTGGGGCCTGTTGGGGGCTTCTTGGTGGCATCTTGGGTCCTCTTGTGGCTGAGGTCTTCTTGGGCTGTCTGGGCGCGTCGTGGGGTTCTTTGGGAGCTTTCTTGTGCCGTCTCGGCGCCATTTGGGGCCGTCTCGGCTCCATATTGGGCCGTTTGGAGGCCTCCTGGGCGCTCCAGGGAGTCTCTTGGCTCTTGGGGCCCTCTTGGCGGTCTTGGGCCGTCTTTGGGCTCTCCTGAGCTGTCTGGGTGCCTCTTGGAGCGCTCTTGGGGGTCTCTTGGGGCCCTCTTGGGGCGCTCTTGGGCGCTCGAAGGGCCTTCCGGGGCGTCCTTTCTTTGGGCCTCTCCCAGGCCGTTAGAAGGTCCTTTGGGAGCGATTCCAAGACGATGTCGATTCG